CCCCCCCCCACAGTCACACACTGTATTTACTATGTTTTACCATCTCTGAGATGAACGGGCTTGTTGTATGAGGGAAGTGACGTCCAGCTCCCATCTTTGCTGAGCGTCATAAACTTGTCGTAGAGTTCCTTTGTGTGGTGACTCCAGTTGGAGTTGGGCAGAGCGTAGTCTCTGGGTTGGCTGGGTTGGCTCAGACAGCGGTGGGTGACCTGCGAATACCACAGAAAAGTTTAGGGGCCCATCTGCAAAAGGGAAGGCAGATGCAACACCGCTCTGTTATGTGATCATTGCCAACTGACAGTGATCACATCCCAGTGTGCGTTTGACTCCTGACACGGTCACGGCCTTGGTGAAGCGGGCACACTGCGGCACGGGCTCCCGAGGGTGTGCAGGCTTGTGTAGTTTCAACAGCTAATACAACTCACTACCAACCTGCACCCCCTATTGGGAATGCAAAGCTGGTCACTGAGGGGTTAAACACATTACTAACACAATGAGTACTCACAGAGAAGTGGTGCTCGGTATGCTCCCCGGCGGTGTGGTGGAAAACAGCGCTGGTGCCCCGGAGCTTCCTGGCGACATCGTGCAGCATGATGCCTGTGTGAGAAGACATGTACATACAAAGTTCACACGGTTCAGACATGCAACCTTTAAACCTAGAAAGAGGGAGGCAGCAAGTCACTGTCATTGATATAGCACTGCCTACTTCTGTGACGCTGTACAATGTAAGCGATAGGTCAAAGTTCACGTGAAAATCTTCCCGGAAGAAACAAGCCGGCCGGCGTTCACCAGTGTGTATCTATGAAAGAGTGCACATTCACCTGCATCTGCTACTTGTTTATGATACTTGTGCTGCAGATTCCCATTAGTTATAACGTGGTGAATGTGCACAATATAACCGGTGAAAGATACGCCGGGTATTAGAGGGGGAATGAGCTGCGAATGCTCTCAGGTGATGCTTTATATACAGGCCGCGTATCCCCATTAATAGGAATGTTGCCCCCCTGTGATGGACATATCTGAGCGGCTAACCAGTCCTGGAATGTCCCCCTTCGCAGTACATTCCAGGACTGTCACCTGCTCACATCTGTCCCATTTTTCTGAATCTAGTCCTCCTAGGTGCCGGAACTACAGCATGACTGCCACATGGTCCGCAACATACACCGATCAGCCATGACATTATGACCACCGCTTAATATTGTGTAGGCCTCCCTTTTCCTGATCTGTCGAGGGATGGCCTCCACTAGACCTCTGAAGTTATGCTGTGGTATCTGGCACCAAGCCGTCAGTAGGAGATCCTTTAAGTCCTGTAAGTTGTGAGGTGCAGCCTCCATGGATCGGACTTGTTTTTCCAGCACATTCCACAGATGTTTGATTGGAATGAGATCTTAAACATTCGGAGGTCAAGTGAACACCAAACTTGTTGATGTGTTCCTCAAACCATCCTTGAATCATTTTGCATTGTGGCAGGGCGCATTATCCTGCTAAAAGAGGTCACTGCCATCAGGGAATACCATGTCCATGAAGGGCTGTTCCATTGTTACCAACAATGTTTAGGTAGGTGGTCAAAATAACATCCACATGAATGAATGATAGGACCCAAGATTTCCCAGGAGAACATTGCCCAAAGCATCACACTGCCACCGCCAGCTTCCGATAGTCCATCCTGGTACCATCTCTTCCCCAGGTAAGCAACTCATGCACCAGGCCATCCACATGATGTTTAAAAAAAAAAAAGTGATTCATCAGACCATGCCACCTCCTTCTATTGGTCCGGGGTCCAGTTCGGATGCTCACGTGTCCATTTTAGGCGCTTTTGGTGGTGAACACGGGTCAGCATGGGCACCCTGACCAGTCTACAACTATTCAGCCCCATATGCAACAAACTGCAATGCTCTGTGTGTTCAGAACCAGCATTAACTTTTTCAGCAATTTGAACTACAGTAGCTCTTCTATTGGATCGGACTACCCGGGCCAGCTTTTGTTCGCCACGTTCATTAGTGAGCCTTGGCCGTCCATGACCCCGTCATTGGTTCATCGGTTTTTCTTCCTTGGACCACTTTTGGTTGGTCCTGACCACTGCAGACCGGGAACATCCCACAAGAGCTGCAGTTTTGGCGTTGTTCTGACCCGATCGTCGAGCCATCACAATGTGGCCCTTGTCAAAGTCCCTCAAATACTTACGCTTGCCCATTTATTTTACTTCCAGCACATCAAGTTCAGGGACAAAATGTTCACTTGCTAATACATCCCACCAACGTCTACGTGCCATAGTAACCAAATAATCAATGTTAGTCACTTCACTTCTCAGCAGTCATAATGTTATGACTGATCGGTTATAGGATAGTACGGCCTCAAGTGGTGTCACCTGTTAACGAGAAGTGGCTAAGCAAGGACCGCCACGGTAGGATCACCAGGGATTATTTTAAAGCAGATTTAAAGCCCAACTTAACGTTCACTTGAAATCAGATAAAAAACATGTCATATGTGTGTGTGTGTGTGTGATGTCTTATAGTTCCTTTTCTCTATTAAGCAGCCACAGCCTGAGTAGAAATGCCTGTCCCCTGCCAGCATGTTGCAGAGAAGGAGCCTTGCTCTCTGTGTGGAAGCAGTGGTCTCTCTGCAGATGTCATAGACCCCTCCCCCCTCCCTACTGTCAGAGCTCTCCAATCATTACATTTAATATAATGTTCACATTCCATGCGTTATAAACAATGTGAATCTGCAGTGCGAGTGTCAGTGAACAAGCAGCAGGTGAATGTGCACCCTGAGAATACACTTTCATAGATCTTTACCAGAGAGCGGCGGTTATCTTGTCTCTTCTCTCTCGCGGACGCTCTTCCTGGAGGATTTTATATACGGCGCCATTCACTTTGATTTATCGCTTACCTTGTACATTACCACAGAAGATGGTGGTGCTATATCAATAAGGACTTGTGTGTGTTGGGTCTGTACGTTGCCGCCTCTCTCTATGGATAAAGGTGGCGTGTCTGAACCATGTGACCTCTGTATGTACATGTCAGGAGATGTATGTACAACCCCAATCCCAAAAAAGTTGGGACCCTGTGTAAAATCTACATTTAGGGTACGTGGCGCTGGAGGGTGCGTGGCGGGCAACTGCTGTGCAGGCAAAATGCTGCAAGCACTATGTGCCCTGCAATCCCGGGCGGGCTATCGCATTGCGGCCGGAGGGCGTGGCTACAGTGCCATTCACTTCAATGGCCCGCCACGCCCGCTCCAGCCCCACGAAATAGTGAGCCGGTCGCATTGCAGTGTGTTCCGCCAGAAAGCACTGCATATGGTATGAATGTACCCTAAAAACAAAATGCAACGATTTGCAAATCTCATAAATCCAGATTTTATTCACAATAGAAAACATATCAAATGGACCATTTTAGGGGGGGGGGAAGGTAATTGTGAAATTGATGGCAGCAAAAAATTGGGACAGGGCAACAAAAAGCTGGCAAAGTGAGTGGTACTGACAAGGGAGAGCTGAACTAATTGGGTTAATTGGAAACAGGTCAGTCACATGATTGGGTATAAAAGGAGCATCTTAGAGAGTCAGAGTGTCTGAGAAGTAAAGATGGGCCGAGGTTCCCCAATCTGTGAAAAGCTGCGTCTAAAAATCGCAGAGACTTTAAATATATCACCATCTACAGTACATAATATCACAAGATTCCAAGAATCTGGAAAAATCTGTGTGCAAGGGACAAGGCCGAAACGCAATATTGGATACTCGTGATCTTCGGGCCCTCAGATGGCACTGCATTAAAACCAGGCATGATTCTGTGATGTACACCACTGCATGGGCTCAGGAATACTTCCAAACATCACTGTCCGTGAACACAGCTCGCCATGCCATCCAAAAATGCCAGTTAATGCTCCATCATCCAAAGAAGAAGCCGTATCTGAACATGATCCAAAAATTCAGCCGCCTTCTCTGGGCCAAAGCTCATTTTTTTATAAATTATTTTTATTAGGTTTTACATAAAAAAAACAGAAAACAGTACAATGACAATGAACAACACCCGAGTCGACAGCACTCAGGGGCACACACATAACAGTACCAACCCCAAGTAGAAGGTACCAAGGGTGAGGAATGGAATGAAGATTTCCCATCAGCCCTCACCTGTGGCCTCGGTGTGCACACAACATCATCATGACTGTGAATCTGGCAGCTTGTCTACCTTGTCATGCCGTCTACCTTCTCCACTCAGAGGAATGACAGGAGGGACAGTGGAGGAATGACAGAGGAGGAGGGACAGTGGAGGAATGACAGCAGTGGATGACAGGAGTGACAGAAGGGGATGACAGGAAGGACAGAGGAGGGATGACGGGACTGATAGAGGAGGGGTGACAGAGGAGGAAGGAGAGAAGCAATGTAATGAAGGTCTCTTATCAGTCCTCACCTGTGGCCTCGGTGTGCAGCACAGCATCATCATCATCATCATGACTGCGAATCTGGAAGCTTGTGTAGATTTTCAGGCTGTCTACCTTCTCCACTCAGAGGAAGAATGACAGGAGGGACAGTGGTGGAATGACAGAGGAGTGACAGTGGTGGAACGACAGAAGGAGGAACGACAGAAGGAGGAACGACAGTGGAGGAATGACAGAAGGAGGAATGACAGAAGGAGGAATGACAGAAGGAGGAATGACAGTGGAGGAGGGACATTGGAGGAACGACAGAAGGAGGAACGACAGAAGGAGGAACGACAGAAGGAGGAATGACAGAAGGAGGAATGACAGAAGAGGAATGACAGATCACAGATAATGGGTTTAACTTCTGCGGTTCCAAAAAAGTGAACCTGTTACTTCCCCCAGCATGACACATCCAGGAAATACAAATCAGCAGACAAACCTTCACAGCCACAACCTACCAATTCTATTCAAAAAAAGAAAACTTTATTCACGTTTCCAGTGAGAGTTTTCTACTGAACACTGTTCTAATGCTGCCAAAACTGTACAGAGGTATATGAAGATATTAATAAATATATCAAAGAAAATCCTTAAAATAACCTATTAATACAGTCAATGGGAAGACTAATAAATAACAAAGCTATTTAAAAGGAACACGGGGAGGCAGATTCACTAAAGGAGTAGAGCATGTTCACTATGAAAGGGGATTTTTACTCACATTAGTGAACACGCAACTATGCAAGGAAAATTTTAAAAAAAGAACAAAAACAGGATTTCTAGCTTGCACATAATTGGATGATTTAAATCAGTACAGCTAACATGCTCTACTCCTGAAGCAAGTCAGTCAAAATGTTACCAATAAAATAAAATAGAGCATATAAATGGAATACTTCCAGATGTCTGTATGTAAAACAAGTTATAGTTTGGCTTGAGGTTCTCCCGAGTTTATCCTAATGAACAAACCTGAAAGGGGAAACAAAAGGGGAATTATCAGTGGTGGTACAGGAGGGACTGAGGAAGGATTTCCCATCAGCCCTCACCTGTGGCCTCATTGTGCAGCACAGCATCATCATGACTGCGAATTTGGCAGCTTAAGTAGACTTTCCGGCCCTCTTCCTTCTCCACTCGGCTGTCTATAATGACCGTAGATCCCAATGGAATTGGACTACAGACACGGAGACAACATGTTCTCATCTCTCCGGTATCACAGCTTCATATCATCAATAATACATAAATAATCCCATCCCTGCCCCCCCAACATGAGTCTTCCAATATCATCATTCGAATCTGGTCACCACTACATCTCCATCAGCCTTCCACCATCACCTCCAACCATTACTTTACAAGGAGAAGCCTTCCATTATCTTCAGGATTTCCTATGTGGCCACCCCACGCACTTACTTCCGATAGTTGACGTTCAGGTTGGCTGTCAGAACCGATCCACAGCTATATACGGCTCCGGTCCCTGCTGTGATGTCTATGATGGTGGCGATGCATCCGCCGTGTGTGTAGCTAGAGAAGCCAAAAGGGGATACAAGTGGTTGAAGCAGAACCATGGGGAGAAAACAAAGGATTCTGGGTAAGACTAGCTGGACAAAAGAAAAGACGCTCACCCTGGGGGGCCCTCCAGATAGGGCCCAGGCTGGAATATGCAGACGATCCTCTTCTCCGCCTTATTATAGAACATACAGTACTCAAAGCCGACTCCATCTTTGTCAATGTTCCTTGTGAAGAGGCGACTTTTCCTGTCTGTCTCCGGCCACATACCTGTAGAGGTCAGAGGTCACCAAGGTCTGCTCTGCTACCTGACGTATAACATCAGTCTTACCATCTCTGTGATGAATGGTCGTGTCGTATGAGGGGAGGGGCTTCCAGCTCCCGTCTTTGCTGAGCGTCATAAACTTGTCGTAGAGTTCCTTTGTGTGGTGACTCCAGGTGGAGTTGGGCAGAGCGTAGTCTCTGGGTTGGCTGCTCAGACAGCGGTGGGCGACCTGTGAACATCACAGAAATGTTTAGCGGCCCGTCTGCAAAAGGGAAGGCGGATAGTTACAAAAGGCTCACGCAACACCGCTCTTACATGAGCGCTGCCCACCGATAGTGATCGCATCCCAGAGCCAGTGTACGTGTGACTCCTGGCACGGTGGCAGCCCTGGTGATGCGGGCACACAGCTACACATGCTACCGTGGGTGATACCACTCGCTACCGACCTACACTTCCCTATTAGGAATGGTCACTGAGAGGTTTAACACAGTGACCATTCCAACACAAAGAGTACTCACAGAGAAGTGTTGCTCAGTCTGCACCCCAGTGGCATGGCGGCAAACGGTGACACTGCGCCGGAGCATCCTGGCGAGGCCGTACAGCATGATACCTGTGTGAGGAGACAGGAAGTAGAGGATATGAGTTCACCTGTATTGCATTCCTCACCCCTGACTAGGAGAGAGGTGAGCACATGTCACATGTACATACAAAGGTCACATGGTTCAGACATGCGACTTTTATACACAGAGAGAAGAAGGCGGCAACGTACAGAACCGTCATGGATATGGCACCACCTTCTTCTGCGGTACTGTACAAAAAAAATCTTCCTGGTAGAGACAAGCCGATCGCCACTCCCGGCGTGGATCTATGAAAGCGTGTTCACAAGGTGCACATTCACCTGCGTGCTCACTAACACTCGTGCTGCAGATTCACATTATTTATAGCACAGTGAATGTGCACAGTATAACCGGTGAATGATACGTCGGGTATTAGGCGGAGAATGAGCTGTGAATAATCAGGGAGTCAGGTGACGCTTTTTATACAGGCCAGGTAGAAGATTTTCACCAATAGGAACGTCGCCCCCTGTGATGAACAGATCTGGGTGGTCCGCCTTGGTTGCAGATAACCACACCCCCAACATTTAGAACACCATATATCCCAGCATGCCCTTGCGCTAGAATAGAAGGTGCCCCGGGCAAACGATTGTTCCATGGCAATTCATGACACACCCTGCACCCAGGGCGTGGTGCAATGTTGCAAAACGATGGAGGAAGGAAGGACTGTCCTGCAGAAAGTGGGACACTCGGGAATAACACTACAAGTCCCAGCAGTAGCAGTGAAATCCACCTAGTGGTCAGCTAGCTTCGGCTTACTAATTCCAGAATGCTTTACCCAGGCATGCTGGGAGCTGTAGTTCTATTTTGGCCCGATAAAGTAGACATGAAGAGCATCCCCTGACACCCGGCTTACCAGTCCTAGCGATGCCCTGCCTTTGGCAGCTCATTCATTCAAGGACTGTCACTGCGTCCCACCAGTACCTGTTGCCGGTGGCATTTTTCTGAAGCCGCTCTACTTAGAGACAAGGGCGCAGGAGCTACAACAACATGGCCGTCACACGATCAGTAACATTTAGGACAGCGCGGCCTCTAGTGGTGACACCCGCTGTACGTTAATAAAAAATAGTAATAATTGGCCACATGGCATGTCTCAGGGCGGGTTTCCTGATGGTGACAACAGTGGGCCATGTCTGCGTAATGTGTGTTGAATTGGCCACCTGTAGTCTCCATCGGAAGCCATTGTGACAGAGTGACAACGTAGACTGACCGAAGACAGAAGGACCCTTGCTCTTGTGTGGAAGCAGTGGCCTCTCTGCAGACGCCCGACATGCCCCCTTCTGTGTGTTGGCTCTCCAATCAATAAAGCCCATGCTCGCTGCTGAGGTCATATTATATTGCAGCTATTCTTTGTCTAATATCCGGCGTATCATTTGCCGGTGATAATGTGCAAATTCTCTGCGCTATAAATAATGTGAATGTGCAGCGTGAGTATCAGTGAAAAAGCAGAAGATGCAGGTGAATGTGCACCTCGTGAATATGCGTTAATAGGGAGGTTGTCTCTCCTCTCTTGCTGACGCTCTTCCTGGAGGATTTTCTACATTTGTTTCATGCACATGAACTTTGTACAGCGCCGCAGAAGATGGTGGTGCTACATCAATAGGGACGGTGACTTGTGTGTGTTGGTTCTGTACATTGACACCTCTTTCTGTGTATAATGGTCGCGTCTCTGAACCGTGTGACCTCTGTATGTACATGTCAGGTGATTTATGTAATCCATGTCTTTTCCTTCCTGTCTCCCCACACAGGCACCATGATGATTTAGGGATTATTGATGATATGAGGCTGTGACACCGGAGAGATGTGATGATGTTCCCCCCCGTGTCTGTAGTCCAATTCCACTGGGATCTACGGCCATTACAATCTACACAAGCTGCCAGATTCTGAGTCATGATGATTTTGTGCTGCACACCGAGGCCACAGGTGAGGACTGATGGGAAATCCGTCAATACATTGATCCCTCTCCTTCCTCTTCGGTCATCCTGTCATTCACCCTCCGGCACTCCCGTTATTCATCCTCTATTACCTCTGTCATTCCTCTTTTCTCACTCCTGTCATTCCTTCTCTGGTTCTTCTTTCATTCCTCCTCTGTCCATCTTGTCACGAAGGAGTGGGGACAGCAGCATCTGATGGGGGGTGAGGGGTGAGGACAGCAGCGTCTGATGGGGGGTGAGATACTTTAGGATGAATACTTCAAGAGCCTGCACAGACACAGCAGAGCGCGGCATGGTAGGTGTTGGGGGGAGTATGAGACATTCTGCAGTGTGTCCAGCAGGGGGCAGCACACGGCTCTGTATGGGACGGGGACACACCCTGCTGGGGAATGCACATGGAAATCTCTGACATTATCTGTGTTTTCCGAGTCCTGCGTTCCGCGTATTCGCAGGAATGTACATTGAACTTGTCGCCCTTTTATTGTGCGCTGTGTTTTCCTGGCAGGGAGGAGAGAACACCCACCTCCATGTTTACAGAAGGATTGAGAACATTGGGGAGGGGGAAGGGTTAAAGATGGTGCCACACCTTTGCGTTCTTGCTTGGCATGTTTTCCATCAAAATCAATGGAAGCGCATCATGACGCATGCAAATGCATCGCCTCATTTCCTGGCTGGAGGAGGCCCAGCATCATCTAGATCTTTCTTGGCCAGCTTGACTCTCCCTGGCCCCGCCCCTTTCATTTATTAGATTTCAGTTCTTTCAATCACTGGAGGCTCAGCGTCACTTGTGGGCGGTCTTCATGCGTGGGAACGCCCACTCCTCTAGACTGACACCCACCTATCAAGGTATTTTGATATTTGCATAACTCCTCCCAAGAGCCCACCCACCGGCTGAGGGCTCTTGAGACGAGCACTGAGGCAGGGGGCCGTGATGTTTTCAGGAAGCTGCGTACAGCACCCTGCTGGCCCCTCCCACCAGTGATGACCTGCCTGCATTGCATAGAGAAGCGCGGACACCCAGTGATGACATCATAGGGTATAAAATAAGGTATGGAAAGGTTTAATTTCAAAATGTGATGAACGGGGGGAGGGGAATATGAGCAGATTAAAGTGGAACTATGATGACATTTGAGGCTTATTTCGCTCATATTGCGCCGGTCGTCCCTACCGATGACATCACGGCGATGTAGAGAGTCGAGAGGGCTACAAGTCATTGAAAGTCAATGAGACACCCTTCCCCCCCCCCCTCTCGGTCATACTTCTACCTCAGGGCAGCAGAACAAATCATCATCAGCCAATCACTTGACCCTGCAGCAGCGTTCTGCGGCCTGTCATGCATTCCCCCCTCTCTGGCACGTGTCCTGGGTATGATGTCACCCCGGGGGGAGGGGGGGGTGTCAGCCAGATGACTAAGCTCGGACTGTGTGATGGAGCTGTGTTCTTCATACAAGGGATGTATGAAGACGGCCATTGCGGACCAACTTGTGAAAATGTGGGGGGGGGTTTCGGCGCGGTCACGCTGAACCAATAGTTTCAGAGTCACATGGTTCAAATCTGGCGTTCACTGGCTGCACGCTTGTTCCAGGCCAGTAAGCGTTGAAGCGAGAAACGGCCAGGCAACCGGCATTTTCAGCAAGGTCATGTGATCCTAAACAGTCACTTTAAATAAAGTGGGGGAGGTTTTAGAACCCCTGATGGGTGTTGTACCGCTACCCAGGGCTCCTTTTGAAGGAATTGCCCTCACTTCCTGTCACAGTGACAAGGTTTTAGCAGACAGGAAGTGAGGGTCAACCTCTCTAATTGGACCCCGAATAGCGGTAAAAACCCAACCAGTCCTTTCCCGCTCCACCACATTCACTTTTATCCATCGCCATCCCTTTCTCCGCCTCCTTCGGCGCTTTGCAGCCATGTCTGTCTACCCACCGGGCCGGCTGTTTACATCCAGCAACAAGCGTTGCCTGGATACAGCAGTGCCCCCGCTGACACCTCGTCTCCACGGGCGACGGAAATAAACATTGTGGTGGCAAAAATGGAGAAGGAAGCTAAAATAAATAAAGACGGTGGGCGGAGCCAATGCTGTGTACAAATCGAGACCGACAGATGTTTGAGACTTGCGACACCTCCATCGGTTTATAAACCCTGCGCTGCCAGGTTGCCGCTGGCGACGCTCTGGTCGCAGTGCACGTAGTTATGTAATAGCCGGCGGCAGTGTAAGTTTGTGTTTTTCAAGGAGAAAAACACGCATCAAACTCATCTTAACGTTTTACCGCCATGCATTTTTTTAATGCGTTTCGTTATAACGTAACGCAACATGAGATGCGTTTTGCGTACATTTTCTTCCTTTTTCATTATCGGCATTTCCGGCCTCTGTTTTGTGGCTCCCGTCTGCGTTGGTAAAAAAAAAATACGGGCCTGTGACTTGCGCATATTGCGTTCGTAGCATCTGCTGTAACGTAACTCACGTTTTTACCTCCGCCCACAAAAGACGCGGAGGGCGCTTAGAAAACGGGACGCACTGATGCCCCGTGGTCTTGCCTTGTAGCGCGCTTAAAATGTAACGGCATGAACGGCTATGAAAACGCAATGTGCGTCCTTCAAGTCACATGTCCATAATTTTCACCGCGGTACCGTGCGTGGCTCTGCACTGCCAAGAGGTGTGTTGGGGGTGCCATTCAAAGGAATGCTGACGCAGCGCACCTAGCACGCGGTACCGCACACTGTGTTGCGTCCTGTAAACCACGCGCCTTGACATTCATTTTGAAGAGCAACGCACACACCACGGCGCCTCAACATGAGCGCTTTCATCCGCCGGCGCTATGTAACCCGGACAGCGAGGGGTTAACCGGCAGGCCTCTGAATTTGGCGGTGTGAGGAAATCCCTCGGCGTATGCACGGTGTGTCATTTTCCTGTGATTCACCCTTCGCTGGCAGCTCAGCCTCCCCACCCGCCCGTCCGCTGGTGAGCGTCGCCGTGGAAACGCCACTTATTTTCCCCAAACAGTGAAAGAGGGGGGGGGCTGTTCCAACTCAAACACCGATGGGGCCCTGCTGGCGCGCTCCGCCAGTATCGTTGTTTACACGGTGGAGTAAAAAATTCCGTCCTCGTCACGCCGCATTTGCGTTGCTCCTGCCTTTCCAACTTCTGCCGACACTCCAGAAAAAAATGCAAAATATTTCGACGCGGTTCCTGCGCCTCGTAGACGCCTTCCATGTTTGCACAACCGGGGTGGCCGACCTTTCCAAGATGGCGGCAGAAGAGGGGAAGTTCTCTACCTCCTTCTTTGTGGCCCGCTGAAGGGACTGCCGGTGCACCCTAACCTGCTCGTAGTCACACACAACCCTTTTTTTGTTGTTGTTATAACGCCACATACGTCTGGTGACCTCTGCGTTACCTCTTGTGTTAACTGAACGCACAGTAGCGCAAGTAACGCGCTTTTCTGCGTGCGTTAGCTCACCACTTGGTAATGCAATGTTGCCATAATTTAGAGCGGCACCCCAGCGCCCCGTTACATTTTTACAAAAAAGGGTTGTGTGACATTTTTTGCGTGTTATCGTGCGTTGGCCACCCATTTATTTTGAACACAACGCACGTTATTGCGCGACTGAATCACAAAGAAGTAAAGACAAAGCCCCGCCCCTTCCTTTTTCAACTTAGGTCATCATGCTGTCACCCACTACAAGTGAGTGCCTCTCTTTCCCCCTCTATTGCTTGCATTCCTCACCGATCATCATGTTATCTCTCACACACAAGCAATAGGTCAGCGCAGCTCCATGATTGAAAGAACTGAAATCCAATTAATAAAAGGGGGCGGGGCCAGGGACAGGCTGGATGGGGAGGCGGGCTCTATGTGACTTGTGGCAGCTTCTAATGCACATGGTGAGGAGCTCTCAGGTTGCAGTGACATCAGAGGAAGACATTTAAGTCCAGGAGAGGAGCGGGTACAACTGTGCAAGACTGAAGGGAAGGTCAGAGGTCAGATATAAGACTGAAGGGAAGGTCAGAGGTCAGATATAAGACTGAAGGGAAGGTCAGAGGTCAGATATAAGACTGAAGGGAAGGGCGGAGGTCAGATATAAGACTGAGGGCTCGTTCACACCATTTGCAGTGCGTTCTGGCCAGAACGCACTGCCTCGCATTTCGGCCGGCTCACTTTTTAGTGGGGCAGGAGGGGCGTAGCGGGCCATTGAAGTGAATGGCACCATAGCCACGCCCTGTGGAACGCACTGCAACTGGTGTGAACGGGCCCTGAAAGGAAGGACGGAGGTCCGATAGAAGACTGAAGGGAGGGACGGAGGTCAGGTATAAGACGGAAGGGAGGGACGGAGGTCAGGTATAAGACTGAAGGGAAGGACGGAGGTCAGGTATAAGACTGAAGGGAAGGACGGAGGTCAGGTATAAGACGGAAGGGGGGAAGGAGGGCAGGTTTAAAACTGGAAGGAAGGGCGGAGGTTAGGTTTTAGTGGGACGGAGGTCAGGTATAAGACGAAAGGGAAGGACGGAGGTCGGGTGTAAGACGGAAGGGAGGGACGGAGGTCAGGTATAAGACTGAAGGGAAGGACGGAGGTCAGGTATAAGACTGAAGGGAAGGACGGAGTCTTCCTTTAAGCCGCGTAGTGTGTAGACTCGCTGTCTGGGAATTCGCACACTCGGCGCTGTTTGGTCTTTGTATCCGGGGACGGCAGGTAAATATTTGCAGCCGGCTTATCTCGGAGCCGCTGATAGTCACCCGGCGAGTCACCTCCCGGCACTGCCAACATCCCACAATATTTATACGCAGATAACGGAGTTTATGCAACAAAATAGCCACCGAGGACCAAAATCAACAAGTCTGAGGGAAAGCATTCCCGAGCGTTCACCTCCAGTCCGTCTGCTCAGGATGAGATGATGTCATCAGTCTGCTGCAGGCAGGAGGAAGCATTTCCTCAGTCTCCCCTCCCCCAGTGATCACACTGTACATTGTAACAAGTCACATGATGAGAGGAAGCAGCAGGGGCTGACCTGTGGCAGACATTTGTGAACACAACCAAGAGAGACCAGGATCTACAGGATTGTGTCATTTCTGAGCCACCATCTCAGTCCAGGAAGTACATCGCACTCTGTATACTCGTCATGTATGGTTTATATGTCTGCCACAGTTCAGTTACACTGACAGGTCTAGTCCCCTCCCCCAGCCTGTGATTGGACAGTGAAAGGAGAAGCTGCAGACTGATGAGCTCACCTCTCTGTCACTCTGCTCTCTCCTGCAATCAGCATGCCCCAGCGTCACTCATGAACTGATAAGCTCCTTGTGCTGATTCTCCCTCCCCCCACACTCTGAGCTGTGCTGTACAGGGACAGCTAGAGACTGATCCCAGGTCACATTCAGCTACTTACATGATAGTGTCTTAGTGCTGTGGGCGGGGGACGGACACTGGGCACCTCCCACTTAGACAGGATAGGCTACAAACGATTATTCAGAGTGGACTTATTGTGAGTTATAGTGCGCACACCAGACAACAATGAACACGCGTGGTACAAAACACGGGGCGTTTATTACGGCATTGGATTAGGAGGACACGGATAGCATTAGTAGATTTTGGGACTCCTCCCCTCTGGCAACGGGGGCGCGGCAGTCTGGCGAGGGTTGGCGGTCGGCATCAGTGGGGGCGGGGCTCCTTTACTTCCTTCCTTTCATGTTCTTAATGTAATAGTCATTACAGGCGATGGTGAGGCCGGCGATGAGGGAGAAGAAGCTGTGGAAGTTGACACGCCCATCGCGGCACTGATCCAGATCTTTCATGATCTTATCCACCGCCTGCGGGTCGTTCTGGTTCTGGGGGGAGGAGCAACAACAAGAACCGGGTTTAGTGGAAGGATAATGTACAAGAAAAATCAATATAAAATATACTGCAAGACATCAACATGTGACATTGTAATAGGGTCACATGACCACATGTAACATGTAACATATAATACAATACAATCAGAGGTTTATCTACCGCAAGGCAAACTAGGCATTTGCCTTGGGCGGCACTTTACAGGGGGCGGCAAAAAAAAGCCGCCCCCCCGAACCAGTGAGCCTCCCCTGCCATAAAGAGAAAAACAAATAATCAATTATCCTTCCCCGAATCAACCAATGATAGGAGGTGCAGGAATTGGGGTGATCTGAGGGGTGAAGGTACAGGAAGTGGTGATGATCTGAGGGGTGAAGGTGCAGGAAGTGGTGATGATCTGAGGGGTGAAGGTGCAGGAAGTGGTGATGATCTGAGGGGTGAAGGTGCAGGAAGTGGGGTGATCTGATAAGTACAGAGCTCTATCATTCCCTGGCAGGCCGGTTGTTTGATGTTTGTGAATGATGACACTGATTGTCACAGGAAAGGTCGGTGACCCCGTGTTGTGTAACTAGAAATGATGGGCTCAGCTAACGATTGAACGCGGAGAATTTCACAACCAACAACGCGATTACTTTGCAGTGAAGGCCGTTCTGGCTCTTTGTGGTAAAGTTCTCGGCGTGTATTGCGGAGTGTCGCTCGGCCTCCTTGCATTGCGGAGTGTCGCTCGGCCTCCTTGCATTGCGGAGTGTCGCTCGGCCTCCTTGCATTGCGGAGTGTCGCTCGGCCTCCTTGCATTGCGGAGTGTCGCTCGGCCTCCTTGCACTGCGGAGTGTCGCTCGGCCTCCTTGCACTGCGGAGTGTCGCTCGGCCTCCTTGCACTGCGGAGTGTCGCTCGGCCTCCTTGCACTGCGGAGTGTCGCTCGGCCTCCTTGCACTGCGGAGTGTCGCTCGGCCTCCTTGCACTGCGGAGTGTCGCTCGGCCTCCTTGCACTGCGGAGTGTCGCTCGGCCTCCTTGCATTGCGGAGTGTCGCTCAGCCTCCGGGGCTGGCAGCCTGCCTTCCATTCTAGGAAAAGAACGTGCTACAGCCCAACAACTCCCACCTTCATCTTGTCATCGAATTGCGCAATAGCTTGTGAATGGCGCTCATTGTGTATCACCTCACACCCAGCAGAGGGCGGTGGCCGCAGATTAGTCCGGGCAAGACGAGGCCTGCGGGAGGTGCCGAGGGCGCTAATCCTGCTGATTGCCGCTAATGAGGGTGTGCGAGTACAATCTGCAGCTCACCTCATGGGGGCCCCCATACTCACCAGCAGTCCGCTTCCCTTTAGTAAGGTTCAATCAGCTTACAAATCGCACTCCACCACTCACAATTGTATCACCAACACCAAACCTATAAAATCCCAAATCCTATACAACTCCAGTACTACACAACTCCAACTGTACACAACCCCCATTCTACACAACTCCAACCCCAACCGTACACAACCCCAACGTCATTCCTATACAACCCCAATCCTATACAACTCCAGTACTATACAACCCCAACCGTACACAACCGCAATCCTATACAACTCCAGTACTATACAACCCCAACCGTACACAACTCCAGTACTATACAACCCCAATCGTACACAACTCCAGTACTATACAACCCCAATCGTACACGACTCCAGTACTATACAACCCCAATCGTACACAACTCCAGTACTATACAACCCCAATCGTACACAACTCCAGTACTATACAACCCCAATCGTACACAACTCCAGTACTATACAACCCCAATCGTACACAACTCCAGTACTATACAACCCCAATCATACACAACCCCAATCGTACACAACCCCAATCGTACACAACCCCAATCGTACACAACCCCAATCGTACACAACCCCAATCGTACACAACCCCAATCGTACACAACCCCAATCGTACACAACCCCAATCGTACACAACTCCAATCGTACACAACTCCAATCGTACACAACTCCAATCGTACACAACTCCAATCGTACACAACTCCAATCGTACACAACTCCAGTACTATACAACCCCAAATCGTACACAACTCCAGTACTCTACAACCCCAACCGTACACAACCCCAACCGTACACAACCCCAATCCTATACAACTCCAGTACTATACAACCCCAAATCGTACACAACTCCAGTACTATACAACCCCAAATCGTACACAACTCCAGTACTATACAACCCCAATCGTACACAACTCCAGTACTATACAACCCCAATCGTACACAACCCCAGTCCTATACAACCCCAATCGAACACAACCCCAACCCTAACACACCCCAACCCT